AAAATCGAAAATACACTCTCGACGGTTTCGAATAATTATGACCAAAAAAAATTGTTTTTAGCGAAAACGAAGTTAACCTACTGTAGTACTATTTCCTAAAAGTGAAATGAATATTACTTTAATCATAGTAACATCATCAAATTTACTAAGTAATATCATAGGCTGACAGACCGTCTGCGCTCAGAATAGTTTTTCATACCCAGTGATTTTATATTATTGAATTCAAATTCAAAGTCATTCAGTACAGTGACCCACTTGGCACTTGTGAGTTGTGACCTACTGTACAACAGAGCTACATCTCCTTGCACGCTTTTTAAATGAATAACAAACATGATTTTTTTTAAACAAAATATCAATTATAATCTATATTATTATCACCGGTTTCATAATACATACTGTGTGGGCAAGGTGTACTTATAAGTACACATAGTTTATATTTAATATAATAATATATTAGCCATAAGGTATATCCACAGATAAACATTTGATAATATATTACCTGAGATAATTCTTTAGTTCACGTTTTCACAAGTTGTAATTAGGTTTAATAATATGTCAATTAAAGCAAATCATCAATTAGAAATGTTTAGTCTTGATCATACAATCAAAACGTTTGTTGTTTTTTTCTTAATTTTAAATTAATGCATTTATAATAGTATTTAATAGGGTTCCCAATATTTTTCTGGCCGACACAAAATCAACAAAACATCGTTACGGACTTACGGTAGATTTGATTGGTATTAATTATTTTCGCAACATATAAAAGATTTCAAAACATGCATAACCGGCCTGTTAATTATGACTTACCTATAAGAATTGAACAATTTTCTGAGGAAAATGAAAGTGATTTCAAATTCTAACCACAGGTATATTTTTTGCCTAGTAGGGACCTATATATTAATGCTATATGGACTGGCGTCCCGCGTTAGGCCTCGGTAGAGATAATTAACTATGGACTAACGTCTCGCCTTAAATGTAATTACGGGTTAACAATATGCGTATAGACCAGGTACGGATTAACCACAATATACGAGGGATGCGACGCGTTTAAAGATGGAAAAAGCAATTATCAGTTAGTATATTTTAACCGAGTCTGCTGTTTCTTGGAAATACTTTCATAACAATTAATCACGAATATATGATTAATCATTTGTTGGTGTATAGTCATCTCGAATACCACGCATAATAGATATTCGATATAGGTACACATTGCGAGTGGCGACGTCCAGGATGCACATACTCGCAGGAAAGTCGTATCGGGGCGTGGGCCGTTAGTATTTCCCGGTACGATTTTCGGTGGACACAGCATCCGTGGGAACGATACTCGTATCAAGAAGGCTGGGAAAAGTAGAGGGTAGGCTTATATAGGAGACCAACGAACAGCCCATATTCGGATGTGATTTGACCAGCAGAGCCAGAGCACCTTCACGATAGTCAGACTTTTGATTGTATTATTTGGACTTAGAAAAATATTTGATATTTTATTAAAACTCGATATTTTTCTGAACACTCTGAATAATACCTTGTGACCAGTATTCTAGTACAGATTATTCTAATCGCAGTTTTAAATTACATTTGTTTTCTATTCTTAAATAATAATTAATACAACCTCATACTAGTCATACTTCAAGCGTTGCATATTAATTAAATACACCTCATCCTATTCCTATCAGAGACACCTGTAGTCGCTAGACCACTACCTACATTAAATTGTAAATATAAATGTATAAAAATGAATTAGGCACTTAATATGTATTGTCTAGAATCAAAACGTAAACGAAATCAGCCGAATAAATTGAATGGTTTTGCTTTATTTACCAATACTATAGTGCTAAAAAATTGAAACAGTAGATAATAGGATATTGCAGTTAATGTTTATTTGATACAAAAGGCGTATATGCGTGTAATTGATCAAGTGATAATTAACTAATTTATAAAAAAGGTTCTCAGCTGAGAGCTTACAGTTAGTAATATCACTAATATCAATAGATAATTTTCTAAGTCTTGATTTTCAAAAAGTATGCTTTTTATAAACCACTATAAAGTAATTACAATGTTATGTAAATATAAAATTGTGTGTTACCTACTTACCTACTCCTCAATATTTTACTGGACCTTTAAAAGAATGAAGAAATAGTTTAATGGCAGACATGATTGTTCTAAAAAATTTTTTACCCACTAAATTTAATTTTGAAGACATACAGAAAATGATAAATAACAATGTTTATCCAAATTTATAAAAATAATTAAAGTTGCTATCACTATACCAGTATCATCGGCTACGTGTGACTGTGTGAGAGATATTTTTCAACCCTGTAAAAAATTAAGAATTGGCTTCGAACAGGCATGCAACAAAATAGATTCACAAATCTATCTACAATATGTATTGAAAGAGACATTACTAATAATTTAGATGCTGAAAAAATATTCTAAATAAGTTTGCATTAAATAATAGAAAAATGAATTTATAATAACATATAATATTAGAATTATTATTATTATAATAAATATATATAATAATATCATGCTGAATTGATATTTTATGTTAGATTATTTAATGATTACCAAAGCAAAACATTTTTGTGTATAATAAGTTTGTTTGATGACTTGATGAGGTACTTAAGATGGGTACCAATTTTCAGCTCTATGCGGATTATTCCGAAGTTCGAATTTTTTTTTGTCCATTTTGACCGGACTATATGTTTGTCTCCCTTTGTCGACAAATAAAAATTTCTCCTGGAGAGTCAAATTAAATTTTTTAAGAGCTTTTGAAGATAAAATTTAAAGTTAACTTCATTTAGTTATAAATTTTAAGTAAACTATAGTTACGAAAGATAATAATATGTTATTCGATATGTATATATACAACATTCACTCGAATTCTCATGTAAAGATTTTCTTATTTTGTTGAATTCGAAAACGAATAACTGTAAATACTTGAAATTTACACCACGTATATTTTATCAATTCATATACTTGATACAATTGTCAAAATATTTTTACTCAATTTGAGCTGTTCATGGACATTTCCTATTTTAAAATTGTTAGTTTTTTTTTATAAATGTCAATAAAATTTTATTTATTCGAATTAAATGATAAACGTTATTCTTTGTGTTAATATGAAATTGTGTCCAAATTTAAATTCAAAATGTCTGTAAAAAATAACACTGTATTCATATATTTTTTAGATTTCTTAGTTATGGAAAAAAACTGCTCAAGTGGAACCTTGTTTTACATGTTCAATCTTTAGCTATGAAGAAAATGTTATACATTTTTAACTACAAAATCATTTTCAATTTTCAACTTGATAAATATTGTCAAAATTGTAACTTTAAATGCTTAAAAAAAAAAGTCCCTATGAATTGTTAATACTCTTAACTGCTATTGTAATAAGTTATCAAGAATCTTGTATTCAATTTTCATGCTTTTTGACCCAACCAATAAAATTTAATTGACATTTATAGAAAAAAAAGGAAAATGTTCAAAATATTTTGAAAATTTTATCAAGTAGGTATATGAATTGATGAAATAAACATTTATAAAAAAATCGCAACAAGAGAAATCGAGTGAATATCCAATGTTGTAAAAATTTCAACTTCAAATTTTCATATTTGACTTTCCGGTAGAAATTGGAAATGGAAAATTTTTTATGAATTTTTAACTAAATATATTTGCTAATTTTCGTGCTGTTTACGTAGTTTAAACGCTCATAAAAAATAAAAAAATTATTGTGGATTTACGTTCAACTTTTTTTTAAATTTCCATTAACAACTTACAGGAACTTTGTATTACATTCTCAAGTTTTTTGACTTAGTTAAAAATTTTTATCGACTTGAGTTTAAAAAAAAACAAATAATAATCGACAATTTCATACGCCTATAAATAGTTCAACACTAGTCAAAATATTTTGAATATTGTATGGTGTATAGAAAATGTTTACACAAATATTCAGTGAAAATGTCTACGGTCATTTTTGTTAGAGTTACACTAAAAACCAAAATCGATTTTTCGAAAAATGGTTTTGCCTAAAAATTAACGTTTTTACATAATTTTTTATTTGTTTTTCGTGTTGCTTAGGACACACAAAAAAAATAATAATAAATAAATATAAAAACACACATCATTGTAAAATCAATACATTCATCGCTCAGCTCAGAATCTAAAACGATTGCAAATTTATTTATTTATTATACTGACGTACCTACATAAAAAAATATAAATGTATGAAATAATATAATATACCTATAATAAATAATAATATTTTGTTTTCTGTAATAAAGCCTGTAGGAACTTACATAGTTACATACTTACTTTTTTTATCATGTATCCATGTAGAAACTCACACAGCCTCCACTGCAGCTGTCGGTTAAACTAGGGAGGAAAAAAAGGAACTTACATAGCAATATGTAGGTGCCTTTTTGTATCATATAGGAACTTACACTCGCTCGTTTTGTGAATACCTACCCTGAAATGTTGATTTTGTTTTTATTAAATTATTTTACATTGTAACCTCGATAGAAAAGTCTAGACTACAATTGATTACACCTGCATAACATTATATGGAGTGGCTGGTTGTGTCCGTAGAAGGTAAGGTAGGTCGAAACGAAAAATATAGTTTGATTTTAGTAGAGAAAATAATAATAATAGGGAAATAATGAGTACTTTAGGGCTTTCAAAACGTCAGGCAAATTAAAATAGCAGAACACAATAAAATTATATAAAACAAAACAACTTAAATAGATTTTCCCCTTGTCCACCCAACATTGTATCCAGTTTTAGAATACATAGACGACTTCAACAATTCTACGGCCAAGTCAATAAAATATATTAGCACATGTGATTAAGGTATATTATATTGCCTGCCAATACCTGATGTTTTCCTAGCAGTTGGCATAAAGATCATAACTTATGCAAATTTACAAAGTATCATTTCTTAGGATCATTCCTAGTGTTGAATACCTTTTATATTCAGTAATGGTTACATAACAAGACAATAATAATTGTGGGAGAAAACGATATATTCAACACTTAAACACACATTGTTTATACAAATAAACAGGACTAGCACTAAAAATGTCATACATTAAAATATGTATATAAATAAAATACATAAGAGTACCAAATACCATTATGCTATGTCAGACAATAGTTAACAATAATTTACACAATTTTCTAAATATAAACTGTTATATAATTTAAATACAATTATTATATTGTCATATTATATTTATTACATTTGTTTAACTTCTTGCCGTCCAATGTCATACTTTTAAGTTATTTCCCATTTCTACTATCATGAAAAAATTAACGCAAGGGAACAGTATTTAAAGACTAAATGTCAAATAAAATTAAGCTATGTGAAGAATTCTATTTCACGCAAGATCTAATAGTTATATTGCACAACCAAAAAATTTGAATTGGGATCAGTTGATATAAAAAAAATCCCACAATATATTATGTATGTATAAAAAAATTTGATAGATAATATCACATGTATTTTCAAAAATAATCCATAGAAAACCAATGTTCACAATATTACAAATAAAGTACATTCATTCAGAGAATCACTAAGGCAGTATAAATAATTACTGTATTGTCCAATTATTACACATTTTACATTACAATTTTAAAGGAATAAGTTTTTGTATTACTTTTGAAAAACTAACTAAATAACAATAATTTTCGGTTATATACAAAGGTTAACAAATAATTTTAAAAAGTGCTACTTAATGTAATAACCAATGAACAACACATTTAAATAAATAATGCACAATAATAATTATAGTTAACCTAAATATTAAAACTGCTCGAGCAGGTTCTATAATCAAAGAATACAATAATATCGATATTGTAAAAATTTAAAATACCTACTAGAAAGTAAAAATAATAATTTAATATTTTACAATTTATTATTATTTACATAAAACAAATGATTAATTGATGAAGTTTAAATCACATTTTGAAACTAAGTCAGTATCAAAAATTAATTAACTCACAAACTTAAACATTTAAGTATTTTAAAATTAAAACAAAAAGTATATAATAAATACATCACAAGACTGCATATATTCAATAGACAAAATATACAATTATTACCTAATATTTGTTTTATAAATTATAATACTTACTTATAATTTATGAATATATATATACATAAAATATATAATAGATACATTTATTAGTTAAAATCCAATTATCAAGTATTAGTCTGTTGATACACAAATCACTAACATTTAAAAATGTTTACAAATTAAGATGCTAAAAGAAAACTTGGCAGTGACTTGTCCTTGGTCAAAGTCTTGTTAACATAAATAATGAGCGTCTGTTATCATATACCTAATATTTATATATATATAAAAAAAAATTATAATTCACTTATTCAAGTAAGCAGTCTCATGAATTGTTTAGACGGCAAATTGCAAAATAAATTAATATTTAAATCACAAAAAAAATTAATTTGTACTGTGGCAGATAATAATTGTGCAAGCCACAAAACTTTAAAAATAAAAAAAATGAATCAATTGTTAAATTCAGATGAATGTCTCAATTTGTATCACTTTAAATTTGTATGGATATAGTGTAACAACAGACATTGTAACTTAAAATGTGTAACATACAATTATTAAATTACATTTACTTTTAAACAGACATTTTCATACATTAGACATGTTTTCAGACATTAATGTAATGAATATAACATGATGAGATTATAAAGAAAGAAGCCAGCTGTCTTTCATTTTATAAGAGCTCTCTTTCTGTATATATATATATATATATATATATACATATATCCTTAAATATAAGTAATATAAGTATATAACAATTTAATGAAAAATAATAAAAAACAAAATAAAACATAAATTGTATTTTCTATTCATTGGAACCATCATCAAGAAGTGCAGCAAATTTATTACTAGTCTAAAACAAAATAAAGTAAATTTATAATTATGAAAAATTGCAGGTCATGGAATATTTTATAATAAATAACTATAATCTATCTAACAAGAGAATGTGCAGTTTCTGTTCATCCCCACGTGATCTAACCAAACCAACCCTGCTCTAACGGAACTGATCTCAATGGCTGATAATCACAGATTAACAGTTTTTATTCAGACCGTAGCACGTTTTCTCACTGGACAGAACTTATTTGAACAATTATTAATCTCAGTAGTGATGATAAATTGTAGTACCCATTCATTTTAACATTACCTTTGTGTAGTGTGTGTGGGGAGACCTTTACAAGACTTAAAAATAAATACTGTTAACTCGAGCAGTTTAAAATTTAAATATATTATTATATAAATAAACTGTAGTAAGAATACAGTAATGTAACCTTGAGTTATGTTTCAGACATCAAACAAAGGTATGACATCCTTTTAACAGTATAACTTTATAATTTATTATTACTACTAACTGTTATATTTGAAGTTAGAAGTTTTACTAAGATGGTATTTTAACACTTACAACAATATTAGACTTGAAAGTAAAAATTCTAAGTTGATTGGTCAAAATTACTCATTTTTACAATTTTGAGGCATACACTGATTATATTGAAAGAGAGAACTTTAAAAATACCATTAATTGATATTGTTGTACCTCATTCTACCCATAAAAATATTAATTCATAATTAACTTTACTCAGGATTAAAATTGCATGCTTATAAATGTAAGTACTAATAAAAAATAATGCTTACAGATTTCTTTAGCTCCTTGGTTATAACAGGATCTCTGTAAATTATATAAGTAATTAGTTATAAATTAATTATTATATTGAAATGGTTTAGCTTACTTCTTCTTAACTTCTATTTCTGGTAATTTTTTAATGACTTTAGGCTTCTTTTTTGATTTATCTAAAAATTAGTTAACATTTAATGTATTCATTTTTATAGTAACTTATATAATTATTATTTACATTTGTCAGAACTATTCTTTCCGCATTCAATAAATCCAGAGTCATTTGTATCTTCTTCGGTAACTGGTTGATCTTTTACTACATCAGGTTCACTAGATTGCCCATCAGGGTCAGTTCTCACATCAGTTGGAGCTTCTACAACTATGGGTTCAATAATTTCTGACCCATCAGCTGCTCTATCCGGGATATTTTTATCTACATCAGGGACAGTTGCTTCTCTAATAGGTTCAGATTCTTCAGTACCTATTACTACAGTTTCTTCATCGGAAGGATTTTTTTTACGAAGATTTGGTGGAATGTAAACATTAGGTCTCGGTTTTTCATCTTCCACTCTATGAAAATAAAAATTGTATAGCATGTTAAAATTGCTATTAAAATACATTTTGATCAATATAAATGGTTATAAGTACATTGGCGGAGTTCCATTGCACATATTTTCCTCAGAAGACAAGGATTCTTTAATTAGAGTATGTTTTTCCCAAGCATTTTCTCGTGGAGGTGGAGCTTCTTCATATCTAGGGTTACGTTCAGGAGAAACTCTTCGCCGAGGTACACGATCATCATCACTTTGTCGACGTGGGCTTCTGCGTCTCCATGTTTCAACTGATTTAGGCTGAGGTGGTGGTTTGACTTCAGTTTCTTCTTGACACCTAATAAAATGAGATGTTTATGATAGGTCTAGTTTCATAATTTTACCAAACACAGTTACTTCAAAATCTTAACTACTCCACATAAGATTTTGTATTATCTCCACTTAAGTAATTTTGAAATCATATTATCTTTCAGTTGAAACTTAAGTAGAATTAAGTACGTTCAAAACAATTGAATTGTCATTTTTTTTTTAAATTTATCGAGCAAATTGGAGGTCAACTAAATAGAATTAAATATAGCTGGTACTATGATTGCTCTTTTAATTTTGGCTAAATGCTCAATCCAGGTAATAAAAACAATATTTCTGGTCTATCAAAAATCAGCCTTGCTCAACTGTCAGCTCCTAGAATCATTATCCTTTAAAATAATCTCTTAAAATACACTTTCATGAATTATTTTACAGATAATATATGTTCCCATCATAATATTAAAATCATATATGACAAAAATGTCTCAGAAAATCACAATATTTCACCAATCATTTAAGCATTCATTTGCTGAGTTGCTGAATAAATAAAGTTATGTAAATTGTTAATTTTTGTAACAGATTTTAGAACAAATTTAATAGTATAGGTAATACAGTACATGACTAAATAAACAGGCATGTTGGCTAGATTTCACTGCACATGAAATGTTTCCTAGACTATACTGTCTCAAAAGAGAACAACCACATTTTGAGCATTATAAATGATGCAATTTGGTTCATCGAGAACTATGTGATCATGCGAATACTGGAAAGTAGGTGGGCGATGTGCAGCGCTGAAGTAAATCGGTCGGTCGCCTGATTGTTCTCTTTTGAGACAGTATAGAAATGAACCCTACACTGCTGCATAGAAGAAAAATGAATATATACGAGTAGTTCTCAATCTTTTTAATACCGGGACCTAAATTTCCCCCGAAAAATCTTTCGAGACCCACATTGTTTCACTTTTCAACAATTTGTGGAAAACAAAATTTGTATCATATAAATATGTATACATTTTTATTAGGTATTTAGTTGTTTTATAGGTTTATAATTAATATGAATAAAAATACATATAGTATAATGTAAAATGTACTTTTATAATGAGGTACCTGACATAAATTTATTGTGCAAACTGGAGGTCAACTAAATAGAATTAATTTAGCTGGTACTATGGTTGCTCATTTAATTTTGGCTGAATGCTCATTCCAAATGATCATAAAGTACTATGATGTTTGGTCTATCAAAAATCAGCCAAATTTGAATTAAATTCTTATAGAAATGATTCAAATTAGAAACTTATTTCCTTAAAAAAATTTGGAAAAATCAATTATACTATCTACAATGAGAATAATATTTTAGATCCTTCATTAAATTTTTTTTATTTTTTTATTAAATACCTATGAATCATCTAAATAAAGAAAATTTTAAATCAAGTATATTATTAGAATAAACTATGAAAAATAAACTATGCGGAGGTCCTCTGAACCCTTCATCCGCCAACCAATCACCCCTAGGGGATGGTCGCAACTTGTCTGTCCTCCTGAGAGTTTGGCTTTTAAATCTTAAAACTGAATATATTTAAAAATAAAATATAAAAACTTTTTTTAAATACTCAAAAGCATATCATCTAGTTTTAAGTATATAATCAATAATCATTAACATTTTTATTTTTTGGTTGCCATGGCTGCTAATATGTGCGAGATGTAAATATACTAAATTAGTTAATAATAAGTAAAGATGAAAACTTACTTATTATCAGAAGTTTCATTTAAACTTGTTTCTGAAGAAGCACGAGACAGTTCTGATTGAGGTTTAGGTTCATTTTTGGCTAAAAGTTTTTCTTCAATCTCTCTTTCTTTAGCTGCTGTGTCTACAGGTTTAGCTCCGCCAAATATAGATGGAGCTGCTACATAGCTAGGAGCTTCAGTCGTTGGTGCATCAGGATCAACAGTCTTTGGTTTGAGTATGAGCTTTGGACGTTCTTGTGGCAGTGAAGTATTATCTCCAGCTGATAAATGAATGTTAAATATTAGTTATAATTTTTAATTCAACGGAATCTCATTTTATATTATAAAAATATCATTGATGTGTGCTTAACATAAAAAAATATTTATTTGGAAAATAGTTTATAATTACCAATTTCGGGTAAATCATCATCTCGTTTGTTAAAACCAAATCCTCTTCTAGATTCACCAAATGGTTTTCGTCCTCCTTCTACATCATCACGACGCTCACCAAAAGGTCTTCTTCCACTATCAGAATCATCATAACGACGATCTCCAAATGGTCTTCTACCACTATCAGAGTCATCACCTCGGCGATCACCAAAAGGTCTTCTCCCACCTTCAGAATCATCTCCTCGGCGATCACCAAAAGGTCTTCTACCACCTTCAGAATCATCACCTCGTCGATCACTAAAAGGTCTTCTTCCACTTTCAGAATCATCAAAACGACGATCACTGAATGGTTTACGTGCTACATCATCATCAACATTACACCTGGCACCTCTCCAAGGACCATTATCTCGTTCGCTATCGTGGTCTTTATCAAAAGCACCACCATCTCTTCGCCTAGTAAACCCTATAAAATAGTATAACTTATGAAGTTATTGTGGTAAATTAGGGCTCAAAAGTTAAAATTGATAAGATAATATGCATGATGTGTGTACATATAAAAATCTTTAGTACCTAAGCACAAAAAAGTTTATAATTTTTTAGGTATAACTTAAAATAATAGTTTGGAAATGGTGGCATGAGCGATCTATAATAATTTTAATGATCTAAAAATGTTTATGCTGACCGCTAACTTGGGAAATAGCTTACGATACTAGAAAGGTCATACAGATCGTAAAAATTATGGTAGATCACTTACGACAAAATTAAATAGTACCTATGCACTTGAGTAGTATTACATAATATTTTTTATTAAATCTAACTACCTATGATATTTATGAAATATGATAAGGTAATTCCTACAACTTACAAGTCTTGCTAATAAAAGTACTTAGTATATTTACCTCCTCTGTCATCAGTGGTTGTTGAAGTACGGTTAGTTGATCGCCAATCACCAGGTTCATCACCACCAGGAAAATCCATACCCATGCGACTGCCTCTTTGAAAAGCATTTCTAGAATCTTGCATTCCACTAGCGAGTTCAACACGAACACGACGTCCACGGATCTAGATAAAGTATATACTTCAGTAAAATCTATTTGAAACAATTAGATGATTTTACTAATTAAAATAAAATGTAACACCCTGGATTGAAAAATTGATTATTTAAATCAATTTTCCACAAAGAATGTATGATTACTATACTTCCGTTGACGACCGATAAAATTATTAAATATATTATATTGGTGCTTTTTTAGAAGATATTTTTTTAATGATTCGATTTTGATATGATTTAAATGATCGAAGGTACTCATTTAAGACAATACATTTTAAAACTTACCAAATTTTCCATTCCAAGTGCAGTAATGAGTTCTTTTCGTTCTTCAAACTCAACGTATCCAAATCCTTTATTACGACCATTGTCATTACGTGGTAATTTTATGTTGTTTATCTATTTAAAAACACAGAAGCCAATTTTTAATATTTTAATGTGGTTAACAAATGAATTATTTATATTAAGACAAATAAGCATAATAAAAAACAAGGACTGCATTAATATTTGTATTTATATAGATCGAATAATATTTTTGAATTAAGTAACTTTTTGTTCTAACTTTAACTCACCAATTGACAATAATGTATTTATAATTATTAATATTTTGACATAATCACCAATGAAGTTTTAGCCATTCAGGGTTAGTAGTCATGAAGTTATTTAAGCATAGACTATACTCTATTCAAAATGAGATCGTACCTCGGCAGCGACCAATTTTCGTCCAAAACGGTCAGACGCATCCCCTACTTAGTCAAACAACGGTTCAGAATTCCGATAGTGTATGCTCTGTAAAACAGTTGCTAATGCTGCAAGTGCGGAAGTACTATATTGTTTACGCGCGCTTATATACAATTTTAATTAAGTGTTCACTTAAGCTGTCGGTACTATACTAATGCAAAACTCCCTTTGACGAAAGCACGTGGAACTAGCACTGCAGAACGAAACAACGCCTATGCCTAGAACTCGGCCGCCCGAGGTATGGTCTCATTCTGAATTGAGTATAGAAAAAATATTTTTTCCAAGAATTTTGATTTTATGACATTATCCTATCAAATTATTGATAGCTTAATTGAATGTTCATTGTAAAGCCGGTCAGTTTTCATTTGGCGATCATGACTGATATTGTCTTGTTGTTCAGAATTAGAGAAGTAATCAGATTTGAATAGTTAAAAAAATTATAAGCTAGTACAAACGAACAGACTAGTGTTGAAGTGTGTAAAGCACACAGAAACAATTTGGGTAGTGGAAATGCACAGCTTCCTCAGACATGAAAAAAAAGCTTTAATGATTGTATCTGCTGGAAAACTGATGTAGACACATTTCTTTAATAATAAAAAGATATCATTGATTCAATATATATGCCTAGAGGTTAAATGGCAATCAACTCAAGTGCAACTACAGTAAAACCATTAAAAAATTAAGAATGACAATCAGTGAAACCGAAAAAAAGAATTCATTATATTATGCTTCTCCGTGACAACACAACTACATTGTTTAGCGAAAGTAATGAAGAGTATTATTCTCCAGAAATTCTAATGAAAAACGAGAGAACCTCCTTCACAGAACTGCCACCACTGTAATATTCTTGAATTAAAAATATATTAAAATTCAGCAGAGATACAACAAAGCGATAGATGCCACAAGTGACGTGTTTTAACACTAACTGGAAGGAAGTTGTACAAGATGGTGCTTTTAGGTTAAGCTGGAAAATGTTACAATGTTATAACTTAAAGAGGACATTATACCCGCATGTGTTGTCTCAGTCTTACAAGAGTGTAACATATCAAATTTTACATCAGCAGATCATGTTTGGCTTAAAAATTAGAAGGAATTGACTTCTTACAAAAAATTAAAAGTAAGATTATTATGGAGGGCTTTTCACGGACTTTTTATTGTATTTAAACTTTAAAGAGTTGAGTATTAAAAAAGTGTAAATTGTTTGTACAGCTTAAAATTCTCGTAACTCTTTAAAATTAAAATATAATAAAAAGCCCACAAGAAGCCCTCTCTTAATTTTTATAAGGTCAATTCACTCTAATTGTTAAGGTGACTGAGCTAAACGTGATCTGTTGAGCTTAAAATTTGGTATGTTAAGCACTTGTAAGACAGAGACAACACATACGGGTATAACATCCTCTTAATGACGATATTTTTTGCAGAAATCTGAGTACTTATAACGTACAACTCTAATGTGCTAATTCCTTAAGAACAACCCTCATTGTTCTAAAATCATTTCAATAAATAAGCATCAGAATTTTTGAAATATATACATAACATTGGTTCAACTAACACAAACATGTGAAAGGAACTCCACATGCTAATATTCGCCTTTGATTCATCATGTTTAAGTTGAGCATTACATTTCAAAATGAAATACCAAATAAATACTGATGGTTTTAACTAATATTTTAATAATCAGGTGAAGTATAACTTGTAATAAAATTATTTAAATATTTATTTCAGTAAGCTCAGACACATCAAAATTTTTTTTAATAAACTAGGGAAAACAAGTTAGGCTATATTGTGTAGTTACTGGTATACATTTGCCATTGAGGTCAATGTGTTAACCTCTATTTCAAAGGATATTAAATAACTCATTTATCACTATAAGTAATAGACATTAACTAATGTATGCAGAAAATATTCTATACTTATATTTTATAATATATTATTAAAACATTAGATCATAAATTATTTTATTAACAACACCATAATACTGTAAAATCACTCCTCTCAAAATCTAAAAATGATTTAAATGATTTTAAGTACATTTAAAACTATTTAGTAGTAGCATTTTTCAGATTTATTCATAAATGTATTAAACCAATAACTAAAGATTGATAAGCATTAATTGGATGTTAAGTTGACCATAATATACATTACCAATAATAATTAATTTAACATGATTTTAATCTAAATTTAAAAGATTATAAAAATTAATTATAAGTTCAATTTTCAAACAAGACATTTTAAACAAAACGTGTTTCATATATTAATATTTAACTACTTTATAGATAACTTAGTTGAATATTCATAAGATTTTAAATAGACTCAAAGTAAGTCATATACATTCATAGTATTATAATATTATAATAGTAAGATATTAAGTAGCATATTATAATGGAGCAACTTACTAAATGCTTATGTCTGTATTTTACTTTGCGACCATTTTAGGTATTTATCAACACTAAAATAGTGTCTAAAGAATATTTTATTTAGCATAGTTTCTGCAAAATACTTATCGATGGCAATAAGATTATCAACTCAATGCATTTTTTTTTCAATCAGAACAGAGTACAATATAAATATTGAAAATGTATAACAACTGCTAAGACAGTAGCTTATTCAAACTTAATACTTATTCTAGGAGCTGTCTTTTACTTTGCGACCATTTTAAGCATTTATTAACAGTAAAATAGTGTCTAAAGAATATTTGATTTAGCATAGTTTCTGCAAAATACTTATCGATGACAATAAGATTATCAACTATATGCATGTTTTTTTAAATATAGATAAACTGTTATAACAGTAACTTATTAAAACATTATATTCATTTTAGAAACTGTATTTAACTTAGCAACCGTTTATAGCATTTATTAGCAGTAAGATGGTGTCTAAATGAAAATTTAATATAGCACAGTTTCTGCAAATATTTATTGACAGCAATAAGATCATCAACTCTGTGCGATTCACTAAGTATAAAATATTTGAATTATACAATACAATTTTTCATAACTTTTTAGAAACTACTAGTGTATTTAAATTCAACTATTTATTTATTTAAGCTGTTCAATGGTACAAATAACGTCAACCACTTGCAAATGAAATACCAACATAGCCACACTTCTGTGTACAAGTCTTCTACCTGGTACTGATCTCATTCTGATTAGAGGATCAGGATCAGATAATAGAATTTACTAATAATTATCTGGTTCACCAAAATTATAAAATATTTATACATAGATATTTTAACTATTTTATACCTTCAGTCCTTTAAAATAATTTGTGATATCATCTTCATCAATTTCAAACTGCAAATTTGACATATGAACCAAGAATGGACCTTCTTGGGGCACAGTGCTTTCGTCTATAATAGATTCACATGCTGCTCTTGGTGCCTTAGGAAGGTTTAATGGCTTAGGTTCAAATCCAAAGCCAGCAAATCCTAAAAAAATATTGTTTTAAATATGGTTTTGTTTACACAAATGTCAATATCATAACATTATGAATAATCAAGTAAAACAAACAATGTTAATTATGAATAGTCACAATAACTGAAACATTCTTGGGAATTTATTCAAAAATTGTACAAGTATAATTGATAAATGTAGTATAATAGACGGAAAATGTTATAGAAGTCATACATAAAAAGCCCTCAGATTTAGAGATAAACAGTCAACAAGAGATTAGTCTGAATTGAGTTACACTAGCATAAGCTAGAACCTTGCAAATTGAACTAAAAGTGCGAATCACAGGAGGTTCCAACAGTAACCAAGATTATAGTCTCAACCAGAGGCGTCTCAGACCCAAAAATCTTAGAACTGGACCAATTTCTGGTTCTCCTGCCCAACTTTTTCAAGAAGGCCCCCGGCTGGAGGGTAAGCGATTTTGCCTCAGACCTTCCCGGGGTTATTAAGTAACAGAGTACTCAGTGTGTGAACCCCTGAAGCAAGATTCTTGTTGACTGATGTCACTCTCGTTAAGAAGCTTAAACAACCAAATAAACGGGGGTAAGCTCTAAAACATTCATCATAAGGCATGTTTTAAAACAATTAGGTATGTATTAACACATATTAAACTGCAATACTGTACAATGAAGTAAGAGGTGTACCGTGTTTTCCATTATGTTCTTTTTCTGCTTCGTCTGCCCAGCATGTTCCACTAGCAATTGAAATAACATCTGTTTCTATTGATATCCACTTCTGCTTTTTATTCTTTTTGCCTATAATAAAATTTCAATAAAAATAATTATTTAATAGGTACCAAAAGGTATACATAATTTCTTGATAATATAACAGTCACCACAGTATAAATGGCATACAATAAAAAACAACAAATAATAGACAACTGAATGTAACATTCCGGATTGATGGACTTATCAAAAACTATTAGTCCCTCACTAAAGAAAGTCATATTTTAATTTACTTCCATTTGACGGCCAAAATGACAATACAAGTACAATTTGGTGCTTTTAGGAAGACCCTAACTATCTATGAACTTAAATCAAGTAGGTAGTTCTTAATTCCAAAATAAATCATTAACTTGAAGACTTATATTGAAATAATGTAACATTCCGGATTGATGGATTAATCAGAGTGGACTGATCCCTCACTAAAGAAAGTAAAATTTAATTTACTTCCATTNAATATAAAATAAAATAAAATGTTGTATAAAAAATAATAATTTACATATATAATTGCTATATCAAAGTTACCCCACTCAACATTTTTGGTTATAACTAATAAAATAAAACTCTTAGAAAAAAACGAGGGGTATCTTTGATTTAGTTGGCTGAATGCCATTACATCCAATGGAAAAAAAAACACTGTATCAAAGTTACCCCACTTGCAGTATAACATTGATAATGAATTAGGAAAATTCATATAAAATTAATTAATGCACTTAAAATCAAAAAACTAGTGCCTACTTCAAGATACATATGTAATTGAGCCTCAAACACTGTTAAAACAAATTTATAAGAGTTAGTTTACAACATATACTAAAAACAAGTAACAAAAAGTTGAAAAAATTATCAAAGTAGCCCCATTTTACGGTAATCAAAATGGAATGATCCCTCACTAAAGAAAGTAGTTTGATTTACTTCCATTTGACGGCCAAAATAACAATAAAAGTACAATTTGGTGCTTTTAGGAAGATGTTTTAATCAATATTTAATCCTTAGAGTTTAAACAATAATATATAAAATCAAGAAAAAAGCAACTTAACTATTGAATGCATGAGAGTTGCAAGCCCTAGTTTTGGTCACCTAGTTTTAATACCTAACTTATAAATACAATCATGATATTATTATAAATGATACATAGGTAAAAGGAAAAATGTAATTGATGAAAAAATGACTGGATGATGTCATTAAGTAAGGGTGGAGTGGTGGTCAATACTTTTTCAAAAGAATTCAAAGTGCTTTTAAGCGACTGCCTGAAACAAGGCGTTGCGCTTTCACTGCTACTATTCAATACGGCATGAGAAAAAATTCTACCTTGCGTTAAATATTTTAATCATGAGGTCAAGATTGGTATAACTAGACTGGAAGATTTAGATTTAGACTGATAGATTTCTTATTTGCAGAAGATCTGAATATACTTGGAGAGGATAATGAATCAGTAATACAAATTACAAAACATAACGATAATAAACTAACCAAAAAAAAATATTAGTATTTAACCTCAAGTAATGGAATTCCGTGAGATTTGCAAACATGTTATCCGTCCTGGATAATTTATGTCATCAATGCACATGCGCCTAGATTCTCAGGATCCATATGACACAACCGGGGTAACCACAGGGAGCTAAGATGGTTTTACGTAACAAGTCGAGGGATTTTTTTGTTTTTATTTGTCCGAGCACAGAGCCACAAGTGAATGGCCATGTGGGCATCATTGTAAAATTTTGTTCTTAAAAGCACGTCTACCCACATGTGTTGTCTCAGTCTTACAAGTGCATGATATAGTAAATTGTACTCTCAGCAAGTCACATTTAGCAGTTGATTTAAAAATTAAGAGTAAATTTGCCTCTAATAAAATAGGTAAGATTATTATTTAGACGACCTCATGAGCTTTTTATTATAATTTAATTTTGAAGGGAGTTAAAAGTATTTTACAATGTACAAAAAATTACAATTTTAAAATACTTTTAACTCGTTCAAAATTAAAATATAGTAAAAAAACTCACGAAGACGTCTAAATAATAATCTTACCTTTAAGAGGTAAGTTTACTAATTTTTAAACTAACTGGGCTGAACACGATCTGCTGTGGGTACCATTTGCTATGTTACGCAATTGTAAGACGAAGACACTTCATACAGGCATGACTTTCTCTTAACTTGGAAAAAATATTCAAATCCCGGAGCATGCACATTGATAGCACAAATTAACCAAGACCTAAGACAGAGTTTCAGAATTTATTAACATTAGATATACCTACCTATGCATATTATGGTTAAATATTTACTGTTCAATAATTTTAAGAATGGCTTTTTTTGGAAATTCAACAGATTATAAATGAACTGGCAAATACCTACCTATACTCTGTCCCAAAAGAGAATAATTACCCTGACCAACAAACACTAACTGTTTCTTTTTACTTGTCCACGCACTGACCAAAGATTGCAGTTAGTGTTAAGTTGGTTGAGCTCACTGTTTCAAACAAGTGCTCATAGTATCTAAACTATGGGTTGCTTGATTTGTATGACATACAGCCAAAATATCGATGGAAGGACCAAATTAATAAATATAAATAACAAAAAGCGTTAAAATTAAAAAATAACCAACAAACGTCAAATACCCATTTTACAAAAAAAAAATTTCAACGTGGAACACGGTTGAAGCATTCGCATGTAGGAAACAACCGGTAAGCACCAGAAGTAAATGAAAAATGAAATCCACCAGTTACGCCGTTGTAAGAAGTATCGTTCGGAGACAAAACGCCGAGTGAAATCAAGGATACTATCGGGAATCGTGACGTAACAAAACGTAACAAACGCACCGAAAGATAACAAAAATAAGGACTTCCTCGACACACGGCCGGAAGAACGGGGGTGATGGGGTGGGGGATCGAGAGGTAACGGTCGGTTCACCCCCACCACGGCGACTTCCGTCACCGCCACCGCGTTACACATTATTTACACATCGCGCGACATTGACAGGTCGCTGGAAAGTGGAAACCGTCACGGTGACGGGTGGCTCTGGGGGACACTCCCTTGTAGACCGCAGGAGAGACGAATCGGACGCGTCTCAAACCACGTATCGGGTGGGCGCGAAATTCACGGACCGACGAGCGTGGAAGCCATTGACCCGTTATCATCGGACGTGTGATAAAAAAAAAAAATATCGTACGATGCGTGTAAAACACGTGAACGGTGTAGGTATTTCGATAGCGCGAGGACGGTCGACCAATGATCGTCGAAATAAAAAATTACGCCAGACAGACTCCCTGTGCGGCCGAGCGGCGGTATCCGGAGACCTTGTTCCCGGACAAAACGTGGTCACGGCCTCGGCACGAGGCTCAGACCTTAGACACGCGCGACGACGACCGTGAAGCGCCGTCAATGCCGCCGCCGCCTTTGGGAACGACGAATTCGTCGTCGTTTGACGGCGGCGAAGACGCCTGTCCGACGGACATCTTGCGCGCCGTCAAATCTCGTCACCGGACGGAGGGCAAGACAACATCATAATATAATAATAATACGACCGGACACGGGGAAGGAGATACTTACTCGACATGGTAGTTGTTGGAGCGGTGATCGGATGACGTGTAGTGAACGGAACGCTGACGACTGAAGGTGGACTCCCGGGTTGCACGGCGCGCCGTCTATTTGCGTAAACGAAACGAACTCGTGAGGACGCGTTCGTGCCGAGTTTTTCCTTTTCGAACGGCTGTGGCACTACACCGTCGACGCCGTGTGAGATGAAAATGAACGAGGCGGTTGCGGAGTGCGGACGTCGGTGTGTGTGTGACGCACAGGCTTGGCGAAACTATCGGAACGGATGCTAGTGGGGGTGGCCAGGAGGGGGGTACCTGTCCTGCCGAGCAATGAGAACCCACGGCACCAAAATCATTGCTTGTTATGTAAAACGTGTTCACGGTGTCCAAAGAGGTTCGGTATTTTTCGAAGAACCTCTTTGGCCGCCAAACGGTGGTTCAAAAATATAGTAACCATCATATTAGTATTACCATTAATCGTACAAGACGCGGGCACGACTGCGATTGTAACCACTGAACAATATTGTAACCGGCATACCATTTTCAAAATTTTTTATTTTTTTTAGGGACATTCAATACAGATGTTGTTTGATATTTATAAATATAATAATATATATAACTGTTGACATTTAACTCACGCAGGTCTTGGACTAAAAAAGACAAGTATCCTTGAAAATTATAGAGTCCCCTGCCCCACTAATTTAATTTTAACACCTTAATTGACTATCAAGTTTATTTTTAGCATCACTATTCTACATTTCTATTGGCTATTTGGCTATAATCAAAATAATATCTATTAAATAGGTATTAAAAATTAAAATTAAAAATTATATTTATAATTTATTATCATTATAAGTTACTGAAAAATGTTATAAGTTGATGGTTTAATTATTTTACGAGGCACTATCCAAAAAACAATAAATATTTTTTTTCTAATGGTTCAAGAAAGAATCCTTATTAATTTAACAAATCATTAATTCTACCTAATTATAATATTATACGCTGATACGATTGGAATGGTTGTTCCATTTAACATGGACACGCCTTTTTTAGAAAATCTTTTTGAAAATATTAAAGGCAGTTTGTCGTTATAAAACAACATTTTTGGTAAAAGATCATTTTTTATATAATTATAATTTGTAAATTTTATTATTTTTGATTTCATATTCAAAGCAGAGTATTATTTAGAGTATTTCAGAGAGTGTTTTAGCTATTTTTCACCCCATTTGTAAGAAGGAATTGGATAGCTCTCACAGGAAATAAGTTTTGGTTCATCCAAATTGAAAAAAAAATTGTTAATGTATAGTTGGCTACAGAAATAAAAACTTTTATAATATAACCTAAACATAAAAAATTAATTTGTTAGTAGGTAGCTCATATAGGTACTTGACTGATTTCGACAAAAATTTCAAAGATAGTTCTCAGGAATGCTTAGAGAGTAGTTCAAAAACATCCATAGTGTTATATTTAATCAACCATTTACAGATTTCCCATCTCAGTCAAATTAGCCAGTGAATCGAGGAACACTAAAATCAATTACACTTATATAGCAACATATATATTTTATATTGGTTCATTTGTTCAGGGGGTGTAAGAATATAGAGCTTGTTATTTAATAAATCATAATAAGCTATTATTACGTATATTTGTTTCAATTAAGATTAGTTAACAACTTTATACAGAAATGAGAATACTAAGACTATGAGTATATCTACTATCTATACAGTATACATTGCACTTACAAAGTAAACAGATGAATATTATCTGTTATATTCATTTTTTTATAAAATTAAGATTAAAATGAATGTTCTAGAGTTGATATGTAAACTAATTAAATATGAGAAAAACAGTAGGTAGATAATGAATGAAAATTAAATTGTATTTTTGAATTACCTATATACAATCACTACACCTTTAATACCTAAGTAAAAATGTCTTACTAGGTATACACGTGTGGTTTAATGGTTTTTTTTAAACTAAAATGTAGATATACATTGACAAAAATATGTCTTATTATTATAATTTAAAATGGTTTGAAAAAATAACATTGTGTTTAAGACATAACAGTTATAACAAATAACAACTTTTTAAATGTATAAACTATTATTAAGTACTACCATATATTTATTTCATGTATATATTTTTAATCGAACATATCGTCGGGTAAATCCTTTTTTAACGGATAACTTTTTTGAGTTCCTTGAAATAGAACTGTCCTAGTAGCTATAACACATGCTCTATGAATTTGTTCATATAAACTCAAATTTGGTGTATGAACAATAAAATAAGCCAGAGATCCTAAAAACGCATCCCCAGCACCCTGAAAAAAAAACCAAAAAATGTTTCATTAGAACCCAATAAATTACAAAATTGTATTTTTTTAATATTTACTGAGGTATCAACAGGATTTTCTATTTTTGGCACTTGAACCCACTGTGGTTCTCGTTCATCTTTAGATGCAAATACGGCACCCAGAGATCCTAATGTAATAATTACAGTTTTACATCCTTGTTTTAAAAGTAATGTTAAAACCTCATTGGCGGATTCAATACTATCAATTTTCTTAATGCAATTTGTGTAAATTTCTGCCTCAGATTCATTTACACAAAATATATCAGCCAATTTAAGTATATTTTGATAAGAATTTGAATAAGCTGGAGCCCCATTTACAATTTTACAACCTAAACAAAATATAAAATAGTTAAATGCTTTGATATTAAAATGAATTCTATAGTTGAATATAAGTCCTAATACTTAATAATAATTAGTAGTAAAATTGAAATGTAAATTGAAAAATTAAAAATATGAGCAAGCATATAATATATCTACATAGAACATATTATTATGTTGATCATGTAAACATAGTATAAGTAATTCAAAGTAAATAGCTCACCATTAAGTAACATCTTTGGGTCAAATGAAAATAGATAATGAATTGTAAGCTTATTGTTCAGATCAGGATTACAATATTTGATGAATAATAATGAATCACTTATAATATTTTACTAATACCTAATTTAAATTTTAAAATAATAAGAGCAAACTTCAGATGCCTATAATTGTAAAATATTAAAAAACTATGCTATGTAATAGATATACAGTGGTGTTAATGGTGTTATTGATATTATGTATGGTTAATAATATTAATAGTACTTCATATTTTAATTCTTACAAAAACTAGTTTATGAATTTATAGTTCACGCTATTATTTCAATTCTATTTTCTGATTTTTTTTAAGAACATTATTTGTTGAATATATTTTAAATAATTTGTTTATATACTATTAACTGTAATATTATTTTGTGTTTGTAAAACTAATACATGTGTAAATGTATTATGGGAAGAATTTGAAATCATCAATTAGCAAAATAAATATAGTACCTATAAACGAATAAGCACATTTAAGACCATCCAAAAATGAACACAAATATAATATATATAGTATGATTAAATATCCCAATTTTTAAATACGTTTCTGCTAAATTTTTGGGATCAAATAGGAACTGTAAAATGTACTAACTATCAATAAACATTATTTCAACAATTACATTATAAAATATTGGTTGCACTATACTTAAGTATTATTTACATTTACTGTTGGTTGTAGAAAGCTTATTAAGTATAAATTCCGTTGTTTCCAGAGGTGTTTCAAATTGAAATAGTACAACCCTAGCCTCATTGAGTAATAAATCATGAGCTTTATCCACATCCTCTTTTTGTAATGTTCCATTAGCTCCAGCTACTATAATGATATAATTTTCACCTGAAATTTAAATAAATTTTATAGATAGTAATTTGTAATATTATTGGCTAACTACTAATAATAAGTACATCATTTTTTACCATTATCAGTAACATTGATCTGAGCTACTCCAGTATCAACTGATTTTTTTGTTATAAATTGAGTGTCAACACCCCATCGTTTAAAATTACTTATAATATCTCTACCAAAAATGTCTGATCCAACCTATAACATAAAAAATTAAAAATTGCAAACAAAATTAAATGTACGAAACAATTTTATTTGTGTTTATGCATTATAATATCTCACACAGCCAATAAATACAGTATCAGCTCCAAGTTTCTGTGCAGCAATACATTGGTTTGCTCCCTTACCACCAAAATCTAAAGTAAATTGTTTACCATGTATGGTCTGTCCAGGGTTAGGCAATTTTGATGTATAACTGTAAACAAATTAAATGTCTTGTAAAATAAAAATGATTATTAATTTTATATACAAATAATAATAGATATTATGATAAAATAATGTTTTAATTTTGTTTATGTTATGTTTTAATTTCCTTTATTCTTTTTTTAATATGCTGATTTTATTGTTTTTAATATATTTGTGCTTATGTTATGTGAAATAGATACCAAATTATAATACCTATAGAATAATTTTATAAGGATCCAATAATAAATTGAATTTAAATATTATCAATATTGATATTAAAGTAAATTATATTACTATTAGTATAATAGTATAATGGTAGATTGATTTAATTTTTTCCAAAAACATTGTATTTAATATTTATTATATTATTAATGCTGAATTATTATTAACTTCTAGCCAATACCAAACATTGATACCTTGAGCTACAAATTTGATATTTTAATACAATTTTAACTACAAAATAATTAACAAACTTTTGTAATTTTATCAGTTAGAACTTCAAATATGCTTTTTAAAAAAAATATGCCTGTGTATCGTAAATCTTTATTTTTTATAATTCCTTTAATAATTACTTGGGAGAATCTCATATTAAATTTTCAAGCTTTTAACTAAGCAAAAAAAATTTTGACAATGTTTCAAAGAAAAAAATTGAAAATTTCAACTGTCTACAAATAGCTCAAGACGATTAAATAAGAATATTTTATAAATTATAAAATGTATAAGAAATGTTTGTACAAACATTTGGTGATAATATTTGATTTTAAATATTTACTATTATAAATTTTTTGAATTGCAACAAAAGAAAGTTAGTTATGCATACGATCTACTTGTTTTTTCTTCATTTTTTTCTTCATGATTATTAGTACCTCCTGGATATTTTCAATATTATCCTCCTAAAAGTACCAACTAGAACCAATTTTCTACAAGAAACTACTTTTAAAGCATTTTTTATACTACCTACTTATGCATTGGGTAAACCTACATCATTGTAAGATCAATACATTCATTTCTTGGCTCATATTCTAAAACCAAATGAAAAATATTTATAAACACTACTGATAGATACTACATACCTACATGATGTAGTACTTAATACCTACTTACTGCTTTTTGTATCAATTATCATACTTTGTATTTTTACTAGGTAAGGATTTATATTTTACATACTACAAAAAAAATAACAGTATTATAAGTTACCCATAACTACTACTTTTTACAGCAATGTATAATTATATCCATTAGATTATTATCACCTGCAAAGGTACATTAGTTATTTGAATACATTTTTTATAAATTATTTACTAATAGATAATTACTGATAATTAATAACTAAAGTACTTAGTCACAAAATAATTTGAAAATATACTTGTTTAACTATAACACATACTTACAAGAACATATCAGTACTACAAGAACCAATAACAACAATCTTCGACATTTTATATGGTATGAAATTATAATCTACAAAAAATTTAAAATTTAAAATTATGGAAAACCGAATGAAGAGAATAGACAATCAGTGGTTTATACAATTATACTTCCGAGTTCTGGGATAAGTATTATATAGAGAATAAATGTACAATTATTTATACTTTTGTACGATAATAATTACCAACCCAATTAATATTTACCAAAAGCTGAAGGCAGAAGTTACAAGAACTTAAATAATTTAAATACTACAACAGGTAGTAGGTGCTAAATAGTTAATACTTTAATAGTTATTGACCAAACGACCAATTAGGTCGAGCCATCAATGATTAGGTGATAAATGATAATCGTAGTAATGTATCATACTTCTATATTATAATACTAAATAGAAGTCATTAAATTGAATAAAGTAAAATGTATTAAATTGCACTAGTAAGTATACTTATTAACTACTTATGTATATAGTATTATCGTTGAGTGTTACGCGTTATACAATTCTATATAATCTGGCTAGAATAACAGTCTGTGGGTACATATTATTATTATCATCATCTAATTCTACAACCGTCAACCGATCATGTCCATGCCCCATAGATAATAAAGATATCTTTATTATCTATGCCATGCCCCGGCTGCATCCAAGGTTTATAGATAGTACTATCTATTGCCGTGCGTTCTATTATCTTATCTATATGGACTATTTTTTTTTTTTAAATACATATTCTGTGCAAGGTGGATATAAATATTATGTATAAATCATAGAGTAATATTTACTCTATAGTATAATTGTATACCCACCTTGGGTCTATGATTAAATGTAAATTACACAGATATATATTATTCTATACATCTGTGGTAAAAAATGTAATAGGCAAAAGCGCTCCTCAGTTGTTCCCCGCTTAACAATAGACATTTATATGCTATGTTACCTACCGGACATTTTGACAATCCCTGGGAAATCTGAAATTATGAAAATTCCTATTAACGGAAGGAAATGATAGCATTGCCTAGGAATTGTCAATTGTCATTGTTTCCTTAGTTTATTACACGGACTAAGATAGAGTCTTATATTAAATAAGTCTATCTTAGTCCGTGGTTTATTAGTCATTGTTATCACGCATCGCTCTCTTACTTTTAATTTAAAACTTTAAAACTTTAAAACTAAAAAATATAAATAACGATGCTTTCCGGTTAACGTTAATTTGGTGTTAAAGGTAGAAAAACTTATGAAAGATCTTTTATTCAACTGTTGAGCGTTGTTTATAAAAAGAAATATTTTTAATGAATTTCAAACTGAAAAAAATTAGCACATTTTCACGATTTTGATGAATTTTGTCAAAGTTCTAACTTCGAACAACCATAAACAACTATTGTGGATGTACGCACAACTTCTTTTTTAATTACACTATTCATAATTTATTTGGAACCATGTGTAACTATTACAATATCAAAGTTTTTGAAAGAACTAAAAATTGTTTGTCGACAATAACTGAAAAAAAAACTTTTAAATTCCTCATGGCTATACATAACTCAAAAAGAGTTAAAATATTTTTATAGTTATTTAACTTATGGGAAATGCCAAATGGTCATAACTCATATTAATTATTTTATAATTTTACTGTGTAATTTGTATGGTATCATTAGGTACTCAATATCGTTAGGAAATAATAGCATGTATCAGACAATGATGACGTTTTCTTTCCTTATTGGGAAATGGGAATCGTTATAATTTCCTATTAATCATCATCATGTTCTAACACTCTAAGTCTCTAACAGTCAACATTTCTGGTAACATAGGTATATTTTTGTGACAATTTTTTGACATGGTAAAATTTTATGATTTTTAAGGTTTTTTCTCAATTTTTATTTATAAATAATTTAAAATTTAATGCGATGTTGATAATTAGTTTTTAGCTTGGTAATTTGAAAAATATTGAAGATACATAGACTCGATTTTGTCGAATAATCATTTTTAAGTTTAATTTCGGACCAAATATGATATTTTAACGGAGAATAACGATTTTAGTTATTTTATTGTAATTTTGTTGTTTTATAACTAGTAGTATTTGAAACGTTTATGCATTTAACCGTTAATTAAATTAATCTTTATTTAAAAAATAATTAAATCTTATTTTTAAAAAAAAATCGGGGGGAGGTGGTGTTAGGGTTAAACCCTAGCCCCCCCCCCCCCCCCCCGGCTAGAGCCTTGTCCGTTATTCCGTTACAGCGACTGAGCGGCCTTTATTGACAGCTACAATTGTATATACAGCTGAGTTATTCCCACTTGCTCACCTTTTTTTTTTAACTGTTGTAAATATTATTAGGAACTTGAAAGTTAGAAACATAAATTTCCACAAAAATGTGTACCGATCCAAGAACGCAACTACGCAAGTTGTTGCATGTTAAATATTACTCAAATAAGTCATCCCTACCTACCTATATGTATTATTATAAACGTAGTATAATAAATTTTGATAGGTATTTAATAAATAGTAAGTAATTCTTATTTTTATAAAATTATGATTTCGGATGGAACTTAAGCTCTTAATATATCACCACAAGCTCCTGATGGATTAATTGTAAATATAAATAATTCTTTGATAACTATAATATAATATATTAGGTACATTATAATCTGTTATAATATAGATAATATTATGATATATTTTGCTGTAAAAGTATGTGCTTCTAAGTAAAGTTTTTGTTAAATATAAAATTATTTTTTACCTATTTCAGGAAATTAAGAAAAGGTTAAATATTTAAAAAAATAAATAATAAAAGTTATCTAGAGCTGATACCCACCTACTCTATTACTCTTCTCGGTATTTATTTATTGTATATTCGTATGGCATTCATTCCATTACAGATTAACTACTATCGAAACGTCAGCGTTATTTTTTATTGATGAATGGCAATTGGTAATTATTTTATTATTTATTAAAGTTAAATAGGCACATACAAAAAATACAATAGGTACATAGGTACTAAAATTATTATATAACAGGGATGGCAATCCTTTTGAACACTGTGTGCCCAAAATTACCTTTTTTTAAAAGCTTGCCTTGAAAAAAATATAAAAAATGTAATGTTTTGTTATACTATAATTTGATTGTATAATTAATGTATTGGTATAAAAAAGTTAGTTTAGGTACATAATAATTGTAATAATATTGCTTTGTTAATTATTTATTTTGATGTGATTTTTGTCGGTGAACACTTGATGCTAATTCGTTGCTATTTGGTTTATAATTTGTAACTCTTAATAAAGTACATGCGGCACTGCATTCATCAGTTAATCGTGACCGATAAAAGCCATATGCTTTTTACCTATTATTTAATTAAATTATATTATATATTATATATATATTATATATTTGAATTATATTTTATATAATTAATTTTTTTATAATTTTATTATATAATATATAATAGAAAAAATTTTCGAGTGCCCACAAAATCTTTTCACGTGCCACCTCGGGCATGGATTTGCCATCCCTGTTATACAACATACTATTATTATATGAACCAACAATATTATTAAAATTTAAAGTCTTACACAGGTATCACAGAAGAATGGTTTGGTACCTACATTAGTACCTATATACGTATAAATGTATAATACTATTAAGGGTATAAGATAGGCAATAGGCATTTAATTTACATTTACTGTCTACCCACACCACGATTAAAAATAGTAACCATCTACACATTACTCTATAATCTATTTGTAATTTGTATTACTAATGAGTTAAAAATGTTTGTGATTCCCTACTACCTACCACTTACTAGGTACTTATTGGTACTTAGTAGGTACTTATTGCCTGATATAATGCCCGGGAAGGAGTCCATGGAGCGGTATAAGCAGAGCCGCAGAGGATCGAATTCCCCCGACCTCCAAATATAGAGGTGTAACGCAGGATGGGTATCTGTTGCTTTCTTTTTTTATCAGTAGAATAGTTGTAACTTGTAGTGTTGTACACCTCTAAGGCCTAAGGGGGTAGTTCAGTGAGATAAAGTCCTCTCTTTTCTGCGGAGCCCGCCTCATAGTTTCTTATTATTATTATGCCTGTTGTGGTCAAAAAATGTTTGCTTGCATGAGAAGCTATAATCGCTATATTGCACGTATTGTACGCCCACTCTGAGCATGTTTGCAGGTTGTGTTGCCCAATGTATTCTTCTTCCATTGTGTACCGTTATTATTATTTTATTGTTTTTTTTTTTTTACAGTTGTATAATATTTGCTTTGTTATATTATTATTTCTGTAATTGTTTCAATTAATAAACGAAAATGATGACGTCGCGGCAATAATGCTCACGCGGTTTTCCGTGACGTTGTCGATACAAAAAAAAAAAAAATAATAATAATAATAGTAAACAATAATTTTAGTTAGTACCTATCTACCTATATTATACACTGAGTATTATAGATATAGGTATCTACTCAGTACTCCTATTGCCTTATTGTTTTAATTGATCAGAAATGTTTGAAGTGCATTCAAATTATGTTCAGACGTGCAGTACAACATTATTTAATTAGTGTAACTATTATGGGTAGCCGCCAGCCGGGTAGGTATGCTTAAGAGTTAAAATGTAAAATTATAATTGTATTATAATAGTTTGCAATGTATAGGTACTTAATTACGATTACCTATATAAGTTATATGAGTATATATAAAATAATATATACTACTTTATAATATAAAGTCTATATTATAATTTATAAGTAATTCTGAGTTATATAGGTAATACAATCGTCACAATAATAAGTAATAATTAACATTAAGTTTTTTGTAGGAATATATAGACGTGTGGGCGTATAAAAAATATAAAATAAGTACGTATATCTGTAACTGTATAAGTGGTGTGCGAAGCTATGCATGCTATTGTTTATTTTTCTGTTTTTTTCCGAATGGAAAGACATGAATTCACATTATCATNATACACGATCGTACTTATTTAATAGTACTTATTTAATTATGGACTTAGTAAAAATTGCATGCTATAACTGCCTGTGTCATTATTCATTAACCATTTCAACAACATTTTATTTGTTGGGTAAGAAACCGTGAATACAAGTTTACAAGGCTCCTGGTATATTGATTATTGTTACTATAGCAGTTGAAAAATATTAAAAATACATAGGCACCAGAGCTTGCGCTAAAGAAATATAAGAGTTGCACATACTGTTTGTTTTACTGAAGTAAAAAAATTTGATGTTCGCTTCGCTCTCACATAATGAATAATACATACTATTATACATATTAAATAATATTATATTACACGTCATAATATATGAATATTAACAATTAAAATAACAAATTCCTTTAATCAAATTTTAAAATAATTTTATTTTTTATGACAACCTCTTCATCAGTTTCACCACTATCATCACAGTTTTAGAACCGTTGTATGCCCATAGTTTTAAATGTTTTAATCTTTTGATAATCTTATATAATAAAACGCTAATCATAAATAAATAGGTATTTACTATAACAATGTTTTAATCATAATTTCTAATAATTTCAGAAATCAAAATG